TAGTGAGTTCTAGTTTCTCCTTAGGCATGAAAGCCAGCTGGGTGACTGGCTTTCAAGAGCCGGGAAACCGTGAGTTCTATTTCTATCTGTTTCTACCTTACGCATAAAACTGGCTGACGTTGGGCTGATCACTAGGAGATGGTGATTTCTAGTCCCATCTTAGGCATGAAAAGCCAGTTGGGTGACTTTGGGCCAGTCACTCTCTCTCAGGCCAGCCGACCTCACAGTGTTGTCATGGGGAAAATAGGAGGAAGGAGGAATTATAGGCATGCTTTGCCACCTCGAGAGTTGTTTATAAAAATAATAATGGTTGAACAAAAACTATCTAACTAAATAAGACCCAGTCTAGGGCAAGGGTCTTAAAAGTCCACAAACGTTAAACTTGGTAAGTTTAAGACTTGTGGACTTCAACTCCCAGAATTCCTGAGCTAACATGACTGGAGGAGGAATTCTGGGAGTTGAGGTCCACAAGTCTTAAAGCTGTCAAGTTGGAAGACCCCTGGTCTAGGGTTAAAAGACAGGTAGTTAAATAAGAAGCAGATCAAACTGCAGCCAAACAGCTTAACCACCTGGATTTGCCTAACAAATTTGTGATTTGAGTTAAAGGTTCAACTGAATCAGTTTGTCCACCATTTCCTGGTTCCAACTGGCATCCTAGAAGTCCTAGAGAGACAAACTGGTAAGGCTTGGAGTCACTAGCCTCATCATGGAGGAGAAGGTTTGGAGGGACAAGCAGACCAAGGCTGCGACCTCAAGAAACAAGAGGCAGCATTGAACAGGCCTTTTAGCCGTTTGGCCTTGGCTAATCCTAGCAACCCCTTTCAATAAATGCTTGCATCGGCCCCCTGTACAGGTGCTCCAAGGGCCTTTTGTTGTCACAGCCAAAGGAAGTAGAAGGACCGAGAAACCTCCAGTGGGTCAGGAAGAGGAAGAAGACAGAGGCATTCACATAGAAAGGATTCTTTGGCTCTAAAAGACCTGTTCAAAACATTGAGAAAACAACTGTGACCGGAAGCGGAGACAGCAAATGCCTCCCACAATAATTAACGGAATCCCTGGTGGAAACCTCGCCAACTTGGGAGACCCCTTATTTCGTTTCTGCTGAGCGCCACATACCACCGCGGGGAGAAAGGGAAGAACCTAAGGCTGGCTTTGCTCAATGGGCAGGCAGGCTCCGTCCCGCCTCAGGAGAGCTTAGTGGGACCCAAATTTCAATTAAAAAAGAAAAAAGGGTGTGGGGGGCCCTTAGCTCCTTAATATATGGCAGGATTTTGTCCTGAATGATGAATACTATCTAAATATAAGATGGATGAATTCTGTCAAGCCACTGGTATTTTATCTATTTATTTAGTTATCTATTTATTGAATTTATTTATTCATTGCAGTTATTAACAGTTGAATTCCACTTGTATTCTTTCTTCCTTCCTTCCTTCCTTCCTTCCTTCCTTCCTTCCTTCCTTCCTTCCTTCCTTCCTATCTTTCTCTTTCTTTCTTTCTTTCTTTCTTTCTTTCTTTCTTTCTTTCTTTCTTTCTTTCTTTCTTTCTTTCTTTTTCTCTCTCTCTCTCTCTCTCTCTTTCTACCTACCTACCTACCTACCTATCCAATTTATTTATTCATTAAATTAATTAGCTGTTGAATTCTGTCCAGCCGCTGGCATTTTATCTATCTATCTATCTATCTATCTATCTATCTATCTATCTATCTATCTATCTATCTATCTATCTATCTATCTATCTATCTGCTTGCTTACCTATCCAATTTATTTATTCATTAAATTTATTAGCCATTTCATTATGTCCAGCCACTGGTGTTTTGTCTGTCTGTCTATATGTCCATCCATCTATACTCTCTCTCTCTCTCTCTCTCTCTCTCTCTATCTATCTATCTATCTATCTATCTATCTATCTATCTCTATCTCTATCTCTATCTATCTATCCAATTTATTTATTCATTAAATTTATTAGCCATTGAATTCTGTTCAGCCACTGGTATTTTTTACTTATATACTAACTGACGTAATTATATATTGGCCGCCCATCTTAGCACAGGGTAACTGTGGGCAGCTTAGCAACGTTCAATGTATTTTCTAATTAGATCGCAAGCATCTTACCCAAAATCCAAGCTAGGGGTCTCTTCTAGTCCACCCTAGCAGAGATAACTTACCTGGAGATACTCAGGATCTGTGACAGCCTCTGTGTCAATCAGGTCTCCTGACGTTAAAGCATTATTTTTCAATCTTGGCAGCTTTAAGATGGGTGGGACTTCAACTCCCAGAATTCTCCAGCCTTGCTGGAAGGTGAAGTCCACCTACCTTAAACCTGCCAAGGTTGAGAAAACGCCACATTAAAAGTAACTTTCTTTCCCTCCATAACCAAAGGAGAACTTTGTCTTCTCTGCTAAGAAGGCATAATAGGTTACCTGCATGGTCATGAGAAGGACATCCAGAGCTGTAGGTTCTTCGGGGGAAGAGATTGACTTGCGACTCGTCTGCAGTTTTGAGACAGGGACCCAGCGGACGCTCTCAAAGGTTTGGTTGGACTTCACTTCTTTGAGGGTGACCACCAAAATGTTCCCTTGCTTGTCTTTGATGGGTTCAAAAAACACCTGACCCAGGTCTTGAATCCCTAGCAGACCCTACAACAGCAAGGGAGAGGGGAAATGGCCTCAGAGGCGTATCTACTACAGGTACACATGCACGTGGGTGGTTGGGTGTGTCATTATCTAGGTCAGGGTTGTCAAACTCAAGGCCCGGGGGCCGGATCTCGCCCAGGGTGGTAGTGCTTGCCTCAGCTGTTAAGTGGATCGTTGTAGTTGATAAGTTAGGACCCTGCTTGTTCAGTGAATCTGGCTTCTCTGCTTATCAATGGACATAAATACCATAGCGGCTAGGATTGTATTTGCTAAAAACTGGAAAAATGAGAAAATACCATTGCAGGAAGAAATTATTAAGAAAATATTGGAATGTGCTGAAATGAGTAGATTGACATTTGAAATTAGAGAACAAGAGGATAAACAATTCTATAAAATTTGGGACCTTTTCTACCAATGGTTAGATAATAAAATACAATAATAGAATATTTAGAATTTTAGAAAGTAACGAATATATAAAGATTTATTTTTTTTCTTTTTTGATATTATATTTATAAAATGTTATTAGGATAAATTTGGTATGACTGTATGATTTGCTATAAAATAAACTAAGTAAACTATAGTTATCTCGGAAAGTATGAATGAATAAAATCATGGTCAAATGATTGTTTAATAGTGATATTAGGGTATATAATTTCTGATTGACAATATGAGATATTATGTAATGTAATTGTAATTGTAATTGCGACCACGAAATGGATGCACAAAAAATTGGTAAACCAACAGATACACTGTTTGTATATTTGTGAAAAAAATTGGATGTTTTTATGTTTTGTCTGTTTTGTTTGTTTTTAAAAATCAATAAAATTGTTTTCAAAAAAAAAATAATGGACATAAATATGAACCAGTTGCCGAGAGTCTGGATTTTGATCACAGATTTCACGTAACCATCATGTTACTAACTTGGCCTCAAAGACCCCTGATCAAGTCTGGTAGTTAAGGTGAAAGAACCAATACAGACCAGGTATCTGGGTCAACATAGTCCTTTTATTGGCATTTGTTCCTTCCAGCAAGACTCAGGTCCTGGGTAGGGTAACCAAAGGGTGACCCACATAAAGTCAGCGCTGGGTGTCAGGATTCCAGCAATTGCCCTAATTAAATCATGATTCTCAAGCCAACTTTCAATAAACTTCAAAGGATTCATTAGAAGCGACTCAGTGGCCCCGCCCTGTATGAAGCCAACTCTGGCATACATAATTTACAGTCCAACTGGGATTTTGCAGTGTCCTTCCCCTTCCACACCCACCAAGCCACGCCCACCAAGCCACACCCACAGGACCGGTAGTAAAAAAATATGAAACCCACCACTGGTCACGTGATCAAAATTTGAATGCTGGGGCAACTGGCTCGCATTTATGACGGTTGCAACACCCCCGGGGGTCACATGATCCCCTTTTGTGGCCTTCAGATGAGCAAAGTCCAAGCGGAAGCCAGATTCATTTAACAACTGTGTTAGTAATTTAACAGCTGCAGGGATTCACTTAACAACAGTGGCACGAATGGTCGTAAGATGGGGCAACGCTTGCTTCGCAAATGTTTCTGCTTTAGCAACAGAACAATTGGGTTCGGTTGCGGTTGTAAGTCGGGCTACCTGTAAAATGGCATTGAAAAAAGTGACCTATGGCCGTTTTTCACACTTACGTTGTTGCAGCCGAATAGCTTAACCTGGATTCTCTTAACAACTGTGTTTCGCTTAACGGCCGTAGCCAAAAATGTCATAAAAATCAGGCACGACTTACTTTACCATCGCCTTGCTTAGCAATGAAAATTCTGATCTCAATGATGCTCATCGGTCAAGGACAACCTGCGCGAACAGGTGTGTCCTAAAACCTTTGGACCTGTTGTATTGGAAAGACGCTGCTTTTATACCTGCATTTGTGAAATGGCCAGCAGCATTTTGAAGCGTGTTTGGAGTACACAGGAACAGGAAGACTGGGAGACGGTAACGCACTGTTGCAGCCACAAGATTTCATCCCACATGCACGACACCTGCAGCAAACACAGCAAAAGGGTTTGCAGGAAGCAGGCTAAGATTCTCGGGCTCTACCCCAAGGTTGATGTCTGTCACAAACTGAGATCGACTCTTTCAGACATCTCCTCTCCCCATTTTTTCTGCAAAGAAGATGCTTTATATATAAAAAAAGGTATATCAGTAGGAACTTAAAAGAGGCAATTTCGACAGGTGACACTTCACTGTCCTTCAGTTTAAGAGGAAACACTTCCGCTCTTAACAAAGTAGCACAATGACAGAGTTGGAAGGGACCTTGGAGGTCATCTAGCTCAGTGGTCACCAACTGGTGGGCTGGGAACCGCTGGTGGTCCGTGAGAAAAATTTGGTAGTCCGCAGACAAATGTGCCCCCCTCCAAAGCAATTAATCCAGGCTGTGCGGGAATACAAGGCTGCCCTGCCCACATGGCCCGCCCAACCTTCAGGTGAGCGCAAACCTTACCTTGAACAGAGCCATGCAAGCTGGAACTGGAAGGTAAGACCAATGGCGGGGGAGGGAAATCCCACCCTGGGAATGGCTTGCTGACATTGGTGGGAAAGTCGGTCCCATATTCCAGAGCTGCAGGAGTCACAGGACTGGCCCTTTGGTCATCCCAAAGCAGCTCCTCCAGTCCATGGCAGGCCGGTGCACCCGGGTGGAGGAGCAGCTGCTCCAGGATGACTGAAGGGCCAGTCCTGTGACTCCTGCAGCTCTGGAATATGGGACCGACTTTCCCACCAACATCAGCAAGCCACAGTCAGTCAACATTCATATTAGTGGTCCGCGGGATTTCAAATTATGAGTTTGGTGGTCCCTGAGGTCCAAAAGGTTGGCGACCCCTGTTCTAGTCCAACCCCTGCTCAAACAGGAGACCCCATACCATTTCAGGCAAATGTTGGTCCAATCTCTTCTTAAAAAAACTCCAGTGTTGGAGCACACATTACTTCTGAAGTCAAGTTGTTCCACTGATTAATGGTTCTATCAGGAAATTTCTCCTTAGTTCTAGGTTGCTTCTCTCCTTGATTAGTTTCCACCCGTTGCTTCTTGTCCTGCCCTCAGGTGCTTTGGAGAATAGCTTGACTCCCTTGTCTTTGTGGCAGCCCCGGAGATACTGGAACGCTGCTTTCACATCACCCCTAGTCCTTCTCTTCATCAGAGTAGAATATCCAATTTTGCAACCGTTCTTCCTATGTTTTAACCTCCAATCCCCTAATCAGCTTTGTTGCTCTTCTCTGCACTCTTCCCAGAATCTCAATGTCTTTTATTTTTACATCGTGGCAACCAAAACTGGATGCAGAATTCCAAGTGTGGTCTTACCAAGGCCTTATAAAGTGGCATTAACACTTCATGTGATCTTGATTCTATCCTTCTTCAAGAAAAGCAAATTAGAACCTCCTAAAACAGTCATTATATTAAGCAGGGCATTACATCAAGTCAGTAGCCTGAATTAATGCATGGAGCTACTTTAGGTGAAGAGTGCCTAAGGCCAAGATGGGTGGATGAGGGGAAGCGATACTTCACATCTCCAGATATTAATTGAAGCAGGAAAATCTGATTCCAAATACAGACAGGTCTAAAGACAGAGTTTACCACTGGGAAGCTGTGCCGTAAAGGATGAAGTGATCATAGCATGCATTTCTAAGATTGTTCAAAATTAAAAAGGGGTCACCTTGGTGAACCAAAGGAAATCCTGCATAAGCAAGCAGGAATAGGTGTCATCGATCTCCACCACAGGGATCTGATCTTCGGGGGTCACCAGAATATTGTCATCCTTGTAGAATATGGAGGCGAGATAGAGACCCCTGGGAAGAGAGAAAATATTTGGGGTTTGGTGGGTTTTTTGGGTCATGAATTTTTATTGAAATAGACAATATAGAAAAATGAAAATAATAGGAAAGCAGAGGAGAAGAGGAAGAGAAAGAAGAGGAGGAGGAGGAGGAGGAGGAGGAGGAGAGTGTAAAAGTGAAAATATTTATGGAGGTTCTCAGTCATCCAGGTTGTCCCAAAGATGCTTTTTTTTTAATTCCAAGAGATAACTGGACTCTCTTTGTTTTTCCTTGGAGACGTTTCCCTTCTCATTCATGAAGCTTCCTTGGTTCTGACTCAATGGTGGAGAATGGAAAGATTTATATTCCTTTCTATCTGGTTAATGACCAGGGGACTGCAAGGAGTATAAATCCTTCCATTCTCCACCATTCAGTCAGAGCTGAAGAAGCTTCTTGGATGAGAAGGGAAACATCTTCAAGGAAAAACAAAGGAAATCCAATTTTCCTCTTGAAAAAACACCTTTGGGTAAAAGGGAAAAAGAAAAAGACTTAAGGTCATAATATACAACCTCAGCTTTTTACTTTTGCATAATAACACATACAAGCCATTTCTATAACGACCAACCTATCTAATCAGCAAAACCCAAAACCAACATTTGCCTTTTTCCCCCCACACAAAGTCCAGAAATGGTTTCCAAGTAGAAACAAAATTAATTCTAGTTTTTTCTTTAACCGAAGCAGTCGATTTAGTTATCTCTGCTAACACCATCAACTCTGGCAACCATTCATCTATTATGGGAATCAAACTATCTTTCAGGATGAGAGGAAACATCTATGAAGGATTCTCTCACCATGGATGATGGGGAGAGACCTCCTCCCAGCCTTTCCCCTTCTTCCTGGCATGTCTGGGAAAAATAACTAAAGCAAAAGACTCAATAGAAAGTTTAACAGCCATGGGAGCAGATACAAAATCCTATGTTCTGGGGAATCCCACTTCCCAAGTCTTCTTACTGTCAGCATTCCAACTAACCAACTCCAAAGCAATTAACTCCGAGACAAACATTTCCTCAAAGTCCCATTTTAACAGAGATGTCATATTGGCCCATCTAGGAAAACCCAAATCTGAGAGTTCCGGGTTTCCCCTTCCCAAAAGAGAAATCCAAGATCCATCTGCTGCATCTTCCAGTCCATCACATGGTCCAATCAAATCTTGGTCCCAACTGGAGACATCCGCCCAGTCACTCCCCTCCAGGTGCAGGGCATCATGTCCTTGACTTTCTGAGAAAGAATGTTGTTGTGTCTAATCATCCATCTCTCTATGAAATCCCCCCTTCAAAATTCCCAGGCATTAAATACGGTGGGCTTGAAGCTTCCAAGTAAAATATGGCTTCCGAGGCTGACACTTACCTTTTTAGGGTCTTTAAAAATTTGCTACCAGGATGGAAGAGATACTTTAGACTTTTGGAGACGGAATGTTTTCTACTCTGAGGTTGATTCTTACAGGGCTCTGAAAATCAAGGACAACGTGTAGAAATGATTAAATATCCAACTTCTATTGCTGTTTCTTTTTTTCCTTTCCTTCTTAATTGTAGCTACGTTAAATGTGCAAGGCCCGAAGAAACCTGGAGAGGCTTAAACTGAATCAGTGAAAGACACAAAAGTGTCATGCCCCTGTCAGAGTCTGAATCCGAGGAGGAAGATGAAAAGCTGACAGGGAGCGGGAGTGTGGCTCTGTTGGCTGTGGAGGAGGCTGGGGAAGGGCAAAATCCAGATGGGCAGAGCAGGGGAGAGGTAGAGCAAGGCAGAGGGAATTCGGAGGACGACCCAGGTCCACCCCGTCTTCATCCTAGGGCACGCAGGGAGGAACAGAGAAGAGAGCAACATGGGTTGTGTGACTTAAGGGGGAGGAAAGGGCCCTGATTCCCTTCATTAGCCATATCCGGGAATGAGAGTTTAAAAAAGATGCAAGCTGAGAGTGGCAGTTGCTGGGAGCAAACATGAGTTTATGTGTAGACTTTGGTTATCTGTGTTCCTGGCATCTTCCCAACCGTGTTGAGTTATTGCTGTGCCTTCACGCCTGGAATTCTTGTTCCTGCCCTGATGGACTAATTACCTCATCTTGCCTTGATTGGACTTATAGTTACAGTTTTTGTTGACCACATTTTGGATTTGATTCCCTGTACCCAAAGGCTGTTCCTGGGAGAGTTTTTCTCCAGCCCAGAAGGTAACCAGGACATTGTGGGAAAAGTTGGAGCTAATAAAGGGACTCCTACTGCTTATCTGTGTTGCCTTTGTGCCACGCCCCTTTGTGCCATCACAGAAAGATATAAATGTTGTATATCAAGGGACCCCCAATAAAGACCTTTTTAGTCCAGTGATGGCAAACCTTTTGGGCTTGGCCAGTCAAAAATTCGGAAAATACTTGACTTGATTCTGCTGGTCTGCCAGTCCCAACCCTTCAAACAGAAAAGGAACAATTCTTCATATATTCATTTGTTTGGGAAAAAAAATATAGTCCCATGTGTGTAAAGTCTGAGGGATAAAAAATATTGGAGGAACTGAATATGTACAGCCTGGAGGACAGAAGAAAAAGGGGGAGGGGTCATGATTGAAACCTTTAAATATACTAAGGGTGTGAATAAGGTTCCAGAAGGCAATATTTTTATTATTAAACAAAAATCAAGACTACGGGGGCATAAGTAGGGAAGTTCGAAAGTATTACTTCACAGAAAGAGTAGTGGAAGCTTGGAACCAACTTCCAGTAAAGACAGTGAGTCAATCATCAGTAAATGAGTTTAAACATGCTTGGGATAAACATATGTGTATCATCTGACAAAAATTAAATTAATTTTTTTTAAAAAACTCAAAGGGCAAACTCAATGGAGCAGTGTGATGACCCAAAGGGGCGTGGCACAAAGGCAACACAGTCAAATAAGCAAGAAGTGTCCCTTAGTACCTCCAACTTTGCCCCCAATGTCCAGGTTATCTTCAGCTGGAGAAAAAACTCTCTTAAGTGGAGGAAATTCAGTCCGAAAACAAAGTACATACAAACTGTAACTAAAAATCCACACAAACCACGCTGCAGTAATTAACTTGACAGGGCAGGAGAAGGAATTGCACACTTGAAAGGCCAGCAAAACACACACAGTTGGGAAGTCGGCAGGAACCTAGATAAGACTCGACAATACAAAATCATTCATGATTTGCTCTCAGCAGTTTGCTGCACGCAGCTTCCCTTTTTAAACACTGTGTTCCCAGCTGCAGCTAATGAAGGGAATCAGGGCCCTTTCCATCCCCATAAGCCATGCAACTCACATTGCTCCCTTCTCCGTTTTTCCCTGCGTGCCCTAGGATGAAGAGGGGGTGGGCCTGGATCTTCATCCGAACTCTCTCTGCCTTGCTCTACCTCTCCCCTGCTCTGCCCAGCCGGACTGTGGCCTTCCCCAGTTTCCTCCACAGCCAACGGAGCCATACTCCCACTCCCTTGTCAGCTGCTCGGCCTCCCCCTCCAAATCAGATTCTGACAGGGGCATGACAGGCATGAGGTCTTTTTCTGCCATCAGTTTTCTGTGTTTCTATGTGTAATGCTATGTATTATACAAAGAAATGCCAAATAATTACAAAAATGAAAGATGACAAAAACAACCTCGTTTTTGGAAAGTCCAGAAGCTGAATGAGAACATACTGTACCTCATTCTTCCAAAAATCACATAATAGATCAAGAACAGCTGTTGTCGGATGTTGTTGAACACTGCCGTGACCCAAAACTTTGTGATGTATCATCTTTGACATGCATGTCGTAGGTTCGCTACCACTGTTTTCATGCATTCAAAGTAGCTGACTACTTATTTTTAGCTACCAAAAAGGCTAGAGCATCTTCTCACTTTAACCTTTCTTTTTGGTTACTTTCCTTTTCACCTCTTCTAAAAATCTGTATTTCGTCCATGCCTCTCTTCTGCAGAAGTCTTGTGGCTTTCCAGCTTAATCTCTTTGCCCCCTCTGCTATTTATGGATCTCTTTCTACAGAATAGAATAGAATAGAATAGAATAGAATAGAATAGAATAGAATAGAATAGAATAGAATAGAGTTGGAAGGGACCTTGGAGGTCTTCTAGTCCAACCCCCTGCCTAGGCAGGAAATCCTACACCACTTCAGACAAGTGGTTATCCAACATCTTTTTGTTCTAACATTATTTCTACAGCTAACTTTTGCCCTTTAAACATTTGTGGGCTAACAGGCAAGTGACAACCAGTTTTTAGCGCATGACTTATGGGTGTAAGATAAGAATGGCAAAGAACAATTTAAAATGGAGATATTACTTTAATTGTACCTTATGTTTTCTGATTGTCTTCATCTTAATAACCCTGTAAGGGATGTCATAATTATTCTAATTTAAAGCAGCAGCAAATTAAAAGATAGGGAAACCTGGTCCCACTTGTTCTAAATGAAATTGGGAGGAAAGAGGGGGAAAAAAAGGTAATTGGATCTGCCTTTCTTAGATCTAATCTAATTCTATTCCATCAAACCGTTCTGGATGTGGTGAGCCATTAAGATTTGATCCTATGCTTCTCAAAAAGACACCCTGTCGGCTGTGACAATTACTTTTCCACTATTCTTGCATTTTAGTCTTCTCCTTTTTTTTTGCATGTGGTCCTTTTACCGCTGTCAGAGCTGGAACTGTGTCAAATGTTAAATATCTAGAAAATGCCATAAGCTGTCAGGATGGTTCATCCATAAAAGAGCTTTTTCATGCCCACTGCTACCTGAACACTTTGGAAAAAAATAACCCACAATAGATTGAAATGTTTTTTTTATGTCATCTCAACAGCCTGGACGTGATTAACTAGATAGTAACCCATTAAAAAACATAGAATAAACCATCAAAATGCTCTTGGCCTGGTTGTATCTGAAGTAGTTTGTCAGCCCCACAAGGTAGAACCAGCCAAAATGTCAACACTGCAGGAATTCTAGAATTATTTTGATTGAGATGGCTATAATAACAGAATCTTGTAAGTCTTGATTGTGCTTTACCTCCGTGCAATCAGAGAGGTCCTTAACGTGAACAGCTTTTGAATATTATCAATGTTTTGTAGGGATTAAAGACAGTTTCAACCCTCTTTGCCAAAGTAACACTTCCTGCATATTTCCATCAAGGTCATCTCCTTTATTCTCTACAGTGGGTGGCATATTAAATTTAAAACAATGGCTTCCAACTGAGTCAACGTCTAAAAGTTTGGACTTCAACTTCCAGAATTCTCAGCAGTGGCCACAATGGCTGGGGAATTTGGGGAGTAAGAAGTCCACACAGCTAGACATGACCAACCAGGGGCAAACTTCTGGAAACAACCAAGCTCACAGAGCACCAAAGACCTACAGTCTTCCTCCTCTTCCTTTCTCCTCCTCCCTTTCTCCTCCATTCTGCAAACCCCATTCCCTTCTAGCACTGATGATGTTCCTTAGATAAGTCATGAAACATCTGCAAGAAACCAGATAAGTTCAGAGAACACCAAGGACCCCATTTCTCCTTAAACCGAGTTCCTGTCCCCCCCCCCTTAATGTCTTTGCTCTGATCAAAATGTATGCATTGCCGACTCAGGTATAGACTGCTGAAAGAAAAAAAGGGTTCTTCTGTGTAAGAAACCAGAGCATCTCAGTTTCTAAACTCAATTGAGTTTTTGCCTCCAATGGGTTTGATGGTTGTTTTCATTCTCCGTCTATCAACGCATTTCCTTCCCCATCTTTTCCCTCCCTTTGCTACTACCTCTTGCATGGGTCTCCCTGGGCACTCCTGAGGTTTACAAGCAGCCCAGGGAGAATAATAATGGAGCCTTTAAGAGCTGAATTCAATTACATTAAAAGTCATTTGTTTGGATTGGCATCAACTAGCCATGTACGGCATCCGCATACCGAAGCTGGTTGCAACGTCAAACATTGGCTTTCATTCAGAATGCTTGAAATACTTTCCTCTGCCGCATCCCCAAACTGTCTTTAGACACGCGACAGGACTCACCGTGACACACACAGTGTTGGTGCACCATCTTCACCTGGTTAAGTAAGTGGTCCAGAGCTTCGGCCTGTCCTCTCTGACGTGGAGCCCTCCCGTCGTATTCTCTCCAATCTGGAGTGGGTGTAGGATGAAACAGGTCAGTGGCAAGAGTGCATTATCTGTGCTTCCACTGATGATATTACCTAGTTTGGTAATGAAATGTCTGCAGGAAAACCAACAAGCTCAGAGAGCACCAAGGACCTCACAGTTCTCCTCCTCCGCTCCTTCCTCCACTTTGCAAATCTGACATCCTTCTAACACTGAAGATGCTACCTAGTTGGCTATTTAAACATTTGCAAAAAAAAATCCCCATCAAGTTTCAGCAAGTATCAAGGACCCCACAGTTCTTCCTCCTCTCCTTTCCTCTACTCTGCAAACCCAACACCCTTCTAACTCTGATGATGTTACCTAGTTAGGTCATGAAACATCTTCAAAGAAAACCACCAAGCTCAGAACACAAAGGACCCCATAGTTCTCCTCCACTTTGACCTCCTCCTCCTCTCCTTCCTCCACTCTACAAACCCGATACCATTCTAGCACTGATGATGATATCTAGTTGGATCATGGAACATTTGCAAGATAACCACCAAGCTCAGAGAACACCGAAGACCCCCACTGTTCTCCTCCTCCTCCTCCTCCTCCTCCTCCTCCTCCTCCTCCTCCTCCTCCTCCTCTCCTTACTTCATTTTGCAAATCCAACATCCTTCTAGCATTGATGATGTTACCTAGTTGGGTTGTGAAACATCTGTGAGAAAAACCACTAAGCTCAGAGTATATCACGGACCTCACAATTCAACCCTGAGCTACAAATATTCTCCTTTATTGCTACCGGGCTTCACTCTAGTTCATAGATAATGCAGTTCAACTTGGTCAATACAGACAGGTAGTAACCACTGATGGAAATTATTTGCACGATGCCACCATCAGGACATGACCATAGATTACTGCAAAACAAAAAACAAAAAAACAGGAAGGAAGGAACAGACTGCAGTTTGTTTCACTATTTCTAGAGCTCATTCCTTCTTCCATCCTTCAGTGGACCGAAGGTTCTTCAGACCCAACGGAGAGAGGTAAAATTCACCTATGTAAGACCATCTATAGGACCTCTTCCCTGTGCTTCTTAGTGACGAGCTGGCCCAACTACTGAACAGCACGGGTAAATGTGTGAGTTACACTAGTTTTACATTATTTGGTTTACACTCTCTCCGGTGCCATAGTTTTCCACTGAAAGTTCAGCTCCATTAATTTTGGCTGAAGACGAGTGCTATTTTTAGGTATTTTAAAAACACCCAAGGAGATGCCTTGAGTTTTTAATGGAGCAGACATTGAATTCTTCTGGTTTTTTTTTTAATTTAGAGGAGTGTTTTTTTAAAAAAAGACATGAAAGCCAACAATAATTCATTTGCTAATCTTGGCTGCGTTCAACAGTTGCCTACAACAATTAGGGAGCTAAATCTGGAGGGCCCAATCCATTAGGTGCATTTACTGCAAATTCAAAATGTGGCTTTGTTGGAGTTTTCTTAAAACCTTTGCCCTTTGACCCTGGAAGCAGTTGAGATACTGCAGGTAGCAAACCCAGGTTTGAAGAGCACGGATGGCAAAAGGGCTTAAACCTCAATGTCCACCACACAAACATACCGAGCAATCTGGTTAACTAAGCATCCAAACTTTGTTCTGAATTGTTATCCCATGGTTTGGATCATATCTTTGAAAACAGCCATTGATATATAGGTCTGTAGAGATTCTCAGTCATCCAGGTCATAAGTTGTCCCAAAAGTGCTTTTTCAAGAAGCAACTGGACTTACATGTTTTTCTTTGAAGATGTTTCTCTTGAGGGCACAGATAAGCCTCCAAGTTGCCTCAACGACCCTCTAAAAGGACGCAACTGACCAGCTGTCTGCAAGATTTATAAATCCTTCCCTTCGCCACCATCCAGTCAGAGCTGAAGAAGCGTCTTGGATGAGAAGCGAAGCGTCTTCGAAGAAAAACCAGAAAGTCCAGTTGCACACTTGAAAAAAGCACTTGGCGGACAATGTTTCTGTTCTTCATACTTACTTGAGGGGATGGCACAGGGCGGTACTGATGGTTGTGGGGCTCCCCAGCCTTTCATGTTGTAGGCAGATACCTGGACGTAGTAAGCTGTACCCTGTGAAGAAACAGCAAAGAATAAAGATACCTAAACCCAGAGGATAGCTTAAAGCTCAACAACTGCACAATATATAGTACAGGGAGCCCTTGACTTACAACAGTTCATTTAGTGACTGTTCAAAGTTACAACGGCAGTGAAAAATGTGACTTATGACCATTTTTTCAGAGTTACGATCTTTGCAGCACCCCCCCCCCGGTCACATGATCAAAATTCAGCCGCTTGGCAACTGGGTTCGTATTTATGATGGTCGCAGGGTCCCAAGGTCACGTGATGACCTTTTGTGACCTTCTGACGAGTAAACTCACTTCACAACTAACTTATCAACTGGATTGGGATGGCTTGATAGCAGGGAAGAACAGGGGCAGGATGGCTGAGAGAGAGCAAGCGGTGGACACGAGGAGCAACGGAACTCAGGCAATGAGCAAGGACCGCCTCCTCCTGATCCCCGAGCACGGAGAGTGGAGAGAAGGTGGGAACAGTGCAGGCTTGACCCAACAATTCAGGAGGAGAGAGCTCCACCCTTCTTCACAAGGCACACCTGAGGACTGAGATTTAAGGAAACACTATGGGGAGGGGTGTTTGTTGGGAACAAACGCTGAAATGTTTGATGTGTTTGATGTGGCGGCACAACGTACGGAGTTTGCAGGAACGCTTGCTTCTTCCTGACCTCACAGACTCAGTACCTTGTTCCCTCCTTCGTGGACTCATTGTTTGCTCCTTGGTTCAGGGACTCATTTACCTGTTCCCTTGTTTTGCTGGACTGGGCACAGTCCAAGGCTGCTGTGTCTCTCTGTGAGAGTTTTGCTCTGGGACTTGCCAAGAATGTAGGAGCGTTTTGGGGGGGGGAATTTGGAGCATTAAAAGGGAGTTTGAACTCTCAGCTGGCTGTGTGACCCTTGGGCCTTGTCCCGAGTCATCACAAGAAGCTTCGGATGGCTCACAAAAGCAGGATCAGCAACAATTCCCAGTTTTCAATCCCAGAGCTCGTTTTCCCACCGGCAGAGCAATCACCTCTGGTCAAATCCACCTATCCGAGCGGATCGCTCCTTGCCAGAGCAGAAAGGCAGAAAGTGCAAATCGAATAAACTTTGCTTTGGGATTGAACTGCCCTCCGGCAGAAAAAAAAAGCCAGCGAATCGATTGTTGTTCCATGGAGCCCAGTGTTTTTCCAGTTAGAGAGCATGTGCCGAATTGGCTGTTGCAATCTCTTGAAATCATGTCTGCCTCTCCTGGCCTCATCCTTCCTTTTGCTCTCATGCTGTGCACTCAGCAGCCTGGCTGGCTCCTGTTTTGCTCTTGGAAGGCATCCACCGCAACAATGAGAGGGGGCAACTGTGCTAGTCCCGCCGTTCCCAGAGAGATAAAAACGGAGGTGGAGGGGAAGGAAAGGGGGAGGGAAGAGCTCAGCCGGTCTATGATTTCATTGCCCCAAAGACTAGACTGGAGTCAGAGATTCTGGCTTCCAATTAGCCATGGAGCTGGTGGACAAGGCTGCATGGGAGTGGAAGTACACGGAGTGGAGAAAGAAAGGGACACTTATTTATTTAGCGTACGGCAAACATGTTGAAAAGCACATCGCAACTGCATTCCCAATGAACAAACAGGAAAATCAAAATCAAATCAACCTTTGTTGTCAGACTACAAGCAGGGGTGGGATTCTACCAGTTTGCACCTAGAACCGAAGAAATCACTGGCCTAATCCTGTAAGGAAGGCAGGAAGGAAACATTCTGGTGTTGCTTACAGAAACTGCCTCTCCATTAACCCTTATTACATTCTTGGCAGGACTAGACTTCCGGTCTCAGGAACTTCTCTGGAGTTTTTTTCCCTTCCTTTGCTGGTACTTTGCTTGTGTGGAGGGACCATTCAAAGTTACAATGGCACTGAAAAAAGTGACTTATGACCCCTTTTTCACACCTACGACTGTTGCAGCATCCCCACAGTCATGAGAGGGCAGGAGAGGAGATGCGTGCCTCGATGTGAGTGATACTGAGTTGGCCACGCCCAGCCAATAACATGACCACCCAGCCATGCCCACCAACTAAGTCACGCCCACAGAACTGGTTGTTAAAAAAATTGAATCCCACCCCTGACTACAACATGTGTACGGGGAGAATGGATGAGTCTCCCTTCATGCACTGTCACGGCAAACTATGGATTACGGCACAAACAAAAGTCATTTCAGTTCCACTCTAGGTTTATTCTCTTTTTCCTTTTTCCTCCCACCTCTCTCCCGCTCACCCAAATTGAACCCAAGAAAGCATCGAGGCTTCTGGAAGGCTGATGAAATGCAGGTAATCCTTGACTTACGACTATGGTTGAGCCCAACATTTTTGTTGCTAAGCGAGACATTTGTTAAGGGATTCCACCTTCCTTTGCCACACATCAGCAGGCGGCAATATAATTTTCTAAATAAATAAATGAGTTTTGCCCCCCATTTTATGACCTTCCTTGCTTCAGTTGTTAAAGTGAATCACCACGTTTGCTAAGTTAGTCACATGACTGGGAAGGGAACCTGGTTTCCTCATGGATTTTACTTGTTGGAAGGTTGCAAAAGTGCGTCCGTCATTATTATGAGCATGTTGCCCAGCGCCTGAATTTTGATCATGGGGACATTAAAAACAACAGTTGTTTCAAGTGGGACAAGGGATATACACTCACCGAGACAAGGCCATGGATGGTGATCTGGAGTTTTTTCAGCTTGTCAATCACCATTTCGCCCAGCGGTGGGGAAAATGTGGGAGAGCAGCTCCACTCAACTGCAATGACAAGAACAGAACCAACCCTTACTTTGGTTAGTAATTAGAGCACCAGTTTAATCTAGCGGTTATAGCGCTGGGTTAGAAACCGGGAGATGGGGAGTGCTAATCCTATCTTAGACATGAAAGCTGGCTAGGTGACCTTCCACCAATCATTAGGAGACTGTGACTTCTAGTCCTGCCCTAAGCATGAAAGCCAGTTGGGTGAGTTTGACCCAATCACCAGGAGACGGTGAATTCTAGTCCCGCCTTAGGCATGAAAGCTAATAGGGTGACTTTGAGCCAATCACTAGGAGACAATAAGTGCTAGGCACGAAAGCCAGCTGGGTAAGTTTGGGCCAATCCTTAGGAGATGGTGAGTTCTAACCTGCTTTAGGCATGAAAAGCAGGCTGGTTGACTTTGGGTCAATCACCAGGAGACGGTGAGCTGTAGTGCTGTATTAGGCATGAAAGCTTGCTGGATGACTTTGAGCCAACCACCAGGAGATGGTAAGTTCTAGTCCTGCCCTAGCTGGATGAGTTTGGGCCAATCACCAGGAGACGGTGAGTTGTAGTGCTGTATTAGGCATGAAAGCCAGCTGGGTGATTTTGAGCCAATCACTAGGAGATGATAAGTTCTAGTCCCACCCTAGGCATGAAAGCCAGCTGGATGAGTTTGGACCAATCATCAGGTGATGGTGAGTTCTAGTGCTGCATTTGGCATGATACATCATCAGAAGATTTCAAGTTTCCTTCTCGGAACGTTTTGTTCACCACTATTGATGAAATACCCAAAGGTTTACCTTTGTATTTGGTGACAATCGCTGAATTGACGCTTAAAGGCTCCTGAAATGACACTTCGACAGAGGTGCTGCTGGCCACTGAAAGGTGGACATTTGTAGGTGGATCCGGGACTCCTGCGGTGGGGCGGAAGAATATAGCACAGATATCAGGAAAAATGACCCAGATATACCAAAGAAATATTGCCCTAATCCCAGGCAAACTAAAGAGTCTAATTGTTACTCACAGAGAAAAGGAAACAATAATTTTGGAAAGGAAACTGTGGAGAGAAAGATAACCTTGTTAGAGATACAAGTGGTCCTTGACTTACAACCATTCCGTTTAGTAACCGTTCGGAGTTACAAAGGCCCTGAAAGTAGCGAATTACAACAAGTTCTTGCACAACGATGGATTCTCATTCAATACAGATGGTCCTCGATCTAGGACCATTTGCTTAGGAGCCACTTGAAGTTACAGTGGCACTGAAAAAAATGTGAATTTTTTTTTCACACTTACAACCGTCAATGGGGAAACCAAATTCTCTTAATAACTGTGTTAATAATTTAACAACTGCAGGGATTTACTTAACAATGGTATAAAGAAAGGTCATAAAGCAGGGCAAAACTCGCTTAACAGCTATCTGGCTTAGCAATGGAATTTTTGGGTTCCATCAATGGTCGTAAGTTGAGGTTACCTGTATATGGGTGCTGGTTTGCATGGCCCTGTCTATCTATCTCTATATCTATCATCTATCTATCTATCTCTATCTCTATACCTATCATCTTTCTTTCTTTCTTTCTTTCTTTCTTTCTTTCTTTCTTTCTTTCT